AAGTAGCAGTAGTGTTATTTCACCAATTACTCAAGACGTCTTGCTCAATAACAGGTGATGAAGTTTTGAGTAATTGTTCCCCCTCCACAGATATGACTCAGGTCTTCCAGTCTCCTTAAAAGAAAAGTGAGCTTCTTGTTTTTGGCAGTAAACTTCTCTCTTGCTTCAGAGAAATATTCCAGTTTTGTTCTTACTAGTCGCTCTCATTTGCTTCTTCCCCAAATTAGCAGCGAGGCCGAACATTTACTTTAAATCCATCTCTGTGTACGTGTGTCTTTTAACTCTCTCTGTTTCGGCTTTAGGAATAAAAACAGATGTCTTTGAATATTAATAACAACATGAAGCAGAATTTGAATAACAGGAGCGCTCTCTGTCCGTCTGTCCTGTTCTCTGACTTTGATCCAACATACTTGACTTTGTGCAGCCATTTACTTCTGGTTCACATGAAAAACATCAACACTGCGCTGTAAGCAGTGAGTCACAACATCACACTGATTCGTTTGTCCGTCAGAGCAGAAGATGTTCCATAAAATATCAACGCACCGTGAGAAACCATATTACAGCACAAGATGTAACCGGGGAAGAAATGCAGTTTTGATCAAACGTTACGCAACAACGGATGTCTTCTTCTTTGTTTTGGTATCCTGGCTGTGCTCATTTACTTGCAAAATAACGCTGCAACTTGATTTGCTTGTTTCAAATGCACATATTGATTAAGACGCAGAGCCTCTAATCACAGAATCACGACACACAAATATGGCACCAGCAGCGGGCTCCAGGGGATTTCTGTTCATCGTTGTTTTAAAAGGAGAGTCTCCTCCAAACCGCATTCTCCTGACAATAAAAACAGACGGTGGCTCATTATTGGAAACTCAATGGTTACAACAGCTTTTTATTTTTTTATCAGGATTCTCTGCTCACTATCAGCACTTTTTTCCTTCTGTTGTTACTTTCATCGTAGAGGAAATAAGATCCAAACTCGTCTGGAAAGGAGAATTTTGTTCAGCGTTTGCGAGCAGTGCTCTGCTTTCTGAAAGATGTATACATTTCTATTAAACTGGTAATAGCTGGAGCATCAATCCCATAAGATGAGGATATAGTTCTCATCACAGCCGGTTTGATTTCTGACCTTGTGACCTTTGCTGCATCTTTCTCTGCCTATTTCCTGTCAATAAAGGTCAATAGTGCCAAAAAACACCTTTAAAAAACAATTACAAATTGATGTTTTACTACATTTTGCACACAAGTAAATGAAAATGTCTTAGTGACATTCATTTCAACACAAGTCAGATGTCAAATCCTTGTTTTTTTTCATACTAAAATAAGTTTGGACAGCTTTGTGCCACTAATGTAAACAGTGAGATGAATCAAAGCAAAAATATTTGCTGTAAAGTGATCAAGCATTTCTCTCAAACTAGATTCACTGGGAAAAAAATGTATCTCTACAATCTTTAATAGTTTGTCCTCCTTGAGGAGTTAGCAGGTGACTGTCTGAGAGTTGACTGTCAACAATTTGTAATTGTATTATTTTTTCTGAAATATTAAGCTTATCTAACAAACGTGAATTTTGTGGTTTCATCACCTGTAAAAGACAATCATTAATTCTACAGGAAAACACAGTAAGTGCAGTAGTGTTTGCTTAATGGATCTTTTGTTAAATTAATGTTAACTTTTAAATTGCACACAAATTTATTAAGTTGCATTGTAGTGGATATGAGGGTAAAAATGTTAAGCTACAGTTTATTGTTTCTTCAAATGCTTTTCAATGTGCTTATCTTACAAGTAGTAGATGTGTTGATTTAGCATTGTAATGTGGTTAAACTGTATATTACTTATTTGTTTGGCAAAACTTTTCATCTTACGGTGATTAATTAGCTTAATTTTTTAGTTTGGTATCTATTTTTTCATCTTGATATCACTGAATGGGGACTAAGGCTGAAGGTTTGTCAACAATAAGCCATTTCAATTGTTTTTCAATATAAAAACAAAAAAAAACTATTTTGTTTCAACTAAGAACAAAAACTTTTAAATGGATATTCCTCCTCATTACGGATGACACAGATTAGTTTTGGAATATTCCTTCGTTAAATAATGGAACATAAAAGAGGGACGAGCAAAATATACCAATCATATTCTGATGACTCACTGGTATCACCGCCACACTCGTCTTTATTCACACACTGCGCTTGCATTTTCTGCACACATGTTTTTTTTCCCACAACACGCCTACACACAGAAACACACACTCCGAAGCTGGGCTACGGGTATTTCTGCACACAGTGTTGGTGGGTAGCCTCTTAGTCGGTCTCACTCTGACCTGTTTTCTGTGTCAGTGAGTCCAGGCAGCACAGCACAAGCAGATAGGACTCACTCACTTCTCCTCTTCCTGACAGCAGTGATGATGACCACTGGGAATCTGCATTATATCCTGCAGTGTTTTGTTTTTTTTAGGTGGATCTTATGATTTTTTTTTTTTTTTTTTGCCTGTAATCAAAAGAAGATAACAGATGGTTGGAAAAGCTCAAACTGAAATTAGGACCTCACTCACATTTTAATCAAAGGGATATTTGTGTGATTATTTAGGGATACAAAATGTGTTAATGATCTTAAATTCAAAATTTTACACATTTAAATGAAAATTTTACACTGGTTAGACCAGTGGTTCCCAAAATGTTCAGCTTTTAAATCACAAAAATACAATTAAACAAAATTTTCAGCATTCAAGATTTCCTACTAAGTACTGTTTCTATTTCTCAGAATAGTCTTTTTTTTATATCTGAATTTCCTTTAATTCATTCTAATGGATTTTTTTCTTACGTTTAATTTTGAAGAGGATCTCAATACCTTATTAATATTAATCAAAAACACAAAAAAAGTTCATTTAACACTTTCTCTGACCTACCTCATTGAACCAATAAGAGCACAAAAAGCATAGAGTCAAATCTGGTCTGAATTATTTTACTCTTATTAGAGACTTTTGATGCAAAACTATCACTGATTAGATTGTGTGCTGAGGTGTGTTGATGGTTACTTCAATGCAACTATGAAGTGCAGAGCTGCTGTGTTTATTTGCATTCTCATTATATACTGTTTAGTTTATTATTTTTATATTATTATTATTTTTTGGCTCTAGTGGCCTTTATTCAATAGTTAATTGACAGGAAAGTGGGTAATCAGAGAACGGGTAACTGAACCTGCGACGGCTGCGTCGAGGACTAAGGCCTCCATGTGGGTTGTGCTTAACCCCTGCACCACCACAGTACACCCATATATTGTTTAGTTTAGTTCATTCACACACTAGGCATGAAATCCAACATATGTGGTACAGATATTTAAATATTTAAGTAGTAGCCTTTATCTTAAGTACAGCAATGCACAACAACAATCTCAGCATTCCTGTTTTGTTAGAATAGTAGCTACAGTCAAGACCAATTAGCAAATGCATACAATATAATGGAGAGCAATTCATTAGTAAAGTAAAATAGAATTAACACCAGAGGACTAATCAATGTATTAATAATTAGAAAATCAATATTTTCTGTCAAATTAACATTTATTAAAGTTCTCTAATGCCAAAACAATTTAAAAAAGAAGAATGGAGGTAGAATGGACGTTCTCATCAAGCTCATTTCAAGTATCGAAGCTTTTTTCCTGGCTGTAAAGGTAATAAAAAGGGGGAAAGCCTTTGAGATGAGATCCCATTGGTGGTGGTTGAGTTTATGAACAACTTCATGCACTTTACAAGAACTGTGAAAGCAATTACACTCAGCAGGCCTCAGAAGTTTGTTATGTTAGAAAAGTGTTCTAGTAGTAAAGTTAAGGCAATAATGAAGAACATATGGCTTATTTTTGGACGATTTCTCACATTTTTGGTTGGGGAGTTGGAGATTTGTTCCTCCAAATGATGCAAACGAGGTTTGAAACGGTTTTGGAGTGAAAAATGCAAAGAGTGCAAGAAAATGTCTCAAATAATAATAATAAAAAATACAGATGTTGGAATATTTCTTGATAACTCACCTTTAAATTTACGAGTGATTAATAGAAATATGAGGTGTTAATAATTCTTAAAGACAGAACAGCACTCTTATTAACACTGCAATAATTTGTGTTGTGTGAATTGAAAACCGTTAATTTATGACGTTCTTGCATATAAAGGTTTTCATTCTTTCTACTGTCATATTCTGCTAACAGGGACACAATTATGCAAATTTTCCACTGATTTAATTCTACTTTAGTTTCCTAAAACTTGTATCTGTTATTTTTTGCTGGGATGTTCTCAGCACAGTCAATGTGAGGTGGTCTTGACTGCATCCTGTGAATTATTACTCGGGTTATTTATGGAGGTATTTCACTCACCATCAGCTGTTATGCAGCTGGTAGGACAGTTTTCAAATCTGATTTAAAGGTGTTTTGGATTTACCTGATTTACCAACAAACAGCTGCTAATATAGATTATTATAATCAGCTTTGCTCATTAACCTTTTAAAGGGGAACTTTTCAACTGTAAAATGAGACTATTTTTTATACATGTGTTTATGTAATGAATGTTTCAATGCATAGAAACTTTATGTATTTTAGTTAATCTAGAACTTAATAATAATGACCTGCTGCAGATTATCCCCAGATGCATGGCTCAGTTTTAATTACTTAATTCATCTTCAGTTATCTTAAGTTTGATGCAATTATTCATAAAACCATATGAATGTTTATTTTATTTTAGGTTTTATTCAAGATAAGATTAATTTTAAGATTTCTTCTGTTTCTGTGTGTGTGTGTTTTTTTTAATAGTTTAATAAAATGAAATGAAACGTTGCTTCTAAGATTGCCCCTCTTTGTATTGTCCATGCAACTTGAATTGAAGCGTTTGTGAAACAGTCAGCAGCATAATGAAAAGCTGATTAATCGTTTTAGGGACTATATTTTTGGCGGAGTGATACCCAGAGACGAGGGAATTTCCCCGTCTCCGTTTCAGTGTACAGTGTTACTATGGTAACCAGATGCCAGTCCTATTTGAAATGAAGCGTCCGAAGCTCCTTAGCAACCATGGAAAAACAAACGACTCTTAAGTTTTGCGGGCACTACATTTTTATCGGAACAACGTCACCTTTTTTCAACAGTTTTATCTTTTCAGCCCAGCTGCGGAAGGAGTTGTGACATGTCAAAGACCAAGAATGAATTGAAAGCTGACGGTTTCACCGTCAAGGCCTTCATGAAGAACTCCGTGGTTGGGGCACCTCCACCTACAGGGGTGTTTCAGAAGCGGCCGTCCAAGCCCACCACCTTCCGGGTTTACTACGAGCGCAGGGAGCTCCCGATCTCCGTGGACCATAACAACAGAGGCAATGCCATAGCGTGGAAGGTGGACATCGAGAAACTGGACTATCAATACTACCTGCCGCTGCTCTTTCACGGACTCTGTGAGACGGTGTACCCTTACGAGTTCCTCGCCCGAGAGGGGATCCGAGACATGCTGAACCGGGGAGGCCCCAGGATCCTCCCGGTCCTGCCCAAGCTCATCATCCCCATCAGGAACGCCATGAACACCAAAAACCACAACGTGATGTGCACCACCTTGAGAGTCATACAGCATCTGGTGATGTCCGCAGAGGGCGTCGGCATAGCTCTGGTGCCGTACTTAAAACAGATTTTGCCCGTTTTCAACCTCTTCAAGAACAAGAAGAGAAACATCGGAGATGCCATCGAGAGCCGGAGGGAAAAAGAGAGCATCGGTGATCTGATTGAGGAGACTCTGCAGATACTGGAACACTACGGTGGCCCGGAGGCCTTTAAGCAAATTAAATCAATGGTACCCACGTATAGTCCCGTGTAAAGACTTGACAGAGTGAGAGCTCTTGGACTTTTGACTGTATTTCATTTATTTTGTTCCTTAAGAAGTTTGTTCCAGAGCTCTTGTTTTAAATATACCAGCTTGTCTGAAAAGTACATTATGTTAGTGTTGTATTCATTTAATTTACGTGAGTTTGTTTTACATAGTTTTACAATTTTCAGATGATTTTAAGTCTGAATCCCACATAATTGGGTTATCCTTACCACAGGCGGATCCAAGAGAATGTGGGCACCTGGGCTACAGCCAGTTTTGGTACCCATATCTGCACCATCTCCTCAAAAATAACTTTTTTATTTGCTGTTGCAGGATACAATTTCCTGAATCTATATAAAATAAATATACCTGGAATAACTTTCATGAATTTTTAGATTTGTTTCTAAAATTTTGTTATGACAAAGCCATGTTTAAATCGCCTGAAGAAGAGTAGCATTGCTCTTATTGAGAAGAAACCAGTAATTGTCAGTATTTTTTCTGAGGTGGAATATTTTTGTATGTTTGTGTGTAATAATAATAATAATAATAATAATCATCATCATCATAATTTTATGAAATTTGTAAAGTTTATAATGAAATAATTGTATTATGCAAACAAGTATTACAAACATATCATAAACAATAAATAAATACATTTTCACCATCTTCATGATCTAGCCTTTGCATGTGGAGTGAAAGTTTTTTTTACATCAATCAAACGGCCTTATAGTTTTTGTTTTCGATATATTTATGATCAGCTGATCTAATACATGAACACATGATTAATCAGCTTGCACAACATCTGAATTCCATTAAATATTTAAAACAATATTACAGAAAATGGATGTATAATGTTAAGTCTGCTCTCAGTCCATCAATACTTCAACTATTATATAAATGGTATTTTCATATTTTCAGACTTTTAGATGCAACAATTAAATGAAGATATGAGGTCTTGGTGTTTTCCTTAGACATTATATATTTGCTTATCTGTGCAGCACAGCGAGAAATGATTGATTATATAATGCTGTAAATAATGTGTGAAGAGGTACAAGCCTCCTGAGAGAGCCAACACTCTTGCTGCTCTTATGCTGTTGAACCTTCAGCTCCACACTTTGGAAATCTTAATTAAAACCAGACTGCTGGCATAATTATGTCCTAAAATGATATCAGTGGAAATGTTGTTTTGTTTATGTGGGAACAAAAAGTTGTGTTTTCTCAGACAACCCAAAACAATTATATATACTCGTTTATATGATTATAAACAGCAGTTTAAATAGAGTTTAACTGCATTAAAGAGTCCTCACCACTGCAGCTTTAAGTGTTCATTTTAAAAATCCGAATGAAGGCATCTTTACGGTGGTCCTGACTGAGTGATTTTGACCTTCAGTATAATTTCTGAGGCTCTGTGACGAGAAACAACCCTTTCTCTAACAAGGACAGGCGCTGAGTCATACTTATTGATGGGGCTGTTTAGCTCCAGATTGGGTGTCATTATTCAACTTCTTTTCTTTGGAGACAAACCCACTCTCCATTCTGTATCAGAGGTTTGTTCTTTATGTATCATTTTCAGACCCAGATACAGAATGATTATCTAATTAGTTTCTTCAGGCTACCACAAATAATTACTTTGGCTTCAGGGGTGAAGATAAATGTTGCTTCACACAGGGACTTTCATTACCAAGTTCAGCAAAACATTGTGGGTGCAGATTCAGTAATTCATATTCTGGAAAATTCACTTAGTAGTGACAGGATTTATGTCAAAGAGCAGCAGGCAAAACAGGGCAAAAAAAAAAAAAAGTATTACACTAAAGCACGTAAATGCAAAAAAACAGAATTTCTTTCAACAAAGGATAACTTCTAACATCTCCCACTGAGGACAGATTTGTTGTCTGGTTTACTGATTTTGACCCTTTATCTTAACTTTGTAGCTCCTCTAGAGTTACTCTCTTCCTCTTGGATGTTTCTTTAAATATTGCCTTTTTCAAGGAGCCACACAACCCAGTTGCACCACTTTTACAATGATTTACGTAGAATATGTTATTTTTCCTTTTCAGATTTTTATACCAAAAACGATGGGTGCATCTTCAGGGAGGACTTATGTCAAAAATAATAAACAAAAGGAAACTATCTGAAATATCAACCAAAGGTTGTGTATCCAAAATAAAATAAAATAGGCAGAATTTAAAAAACAAACACACTACAATACAAAAATACATACATTTAAGGAGAGATTATGTAACTGTAGGTGTTGATTTTGCCATGCTGGTATCGGTCATACAATTATATCGACCTGGTATCGTTACTATCGCTACTTTGGATCAACGTCTAGTTTCTGCATATATGTTTCTCAATAATAATCATCTTGAAATGGTTTGTGTGTCTACATGCGTGTTTTCCACCTAGTAATTGGTGGATTATTAGGTGGGTCCAATTACTTATTTACTTATACTTATTTAGATTTTGCATCTCAGCCACAAAGATACAGAAATGTTTTATTATAGGAGCAGGTTCTGCAGCTTTACGCTTCATAAATTTGTTAGGAAATTACACCCAACAGCCTATGAAACACAGTAAACCTGATACAATCACAGCCCAAATTGTCAGAAAAAAAAACTTGACTAAAAGTTTAGTTCACAGACACCTACATTTCCCTCTTTTGCGATTTTGCTTGGAGCTGATGAGAACAATCACACAGCAACTCGTGCCTCAAATGGGCCTATATTAAATTAATGAAACAGTAAGCTGCAAAGGTAGAGTTAAAATCATGTTACGGTCCTCTGTTGCATGCTCTCTGTGAACTCTGGTCTTTAGTTCTCTGCTGGTTTTTCAGTTTTTAGAAGCTAAAGTTGGAAACATTTGGATATTTGCGTTGCTTTTCATCGACATCTCTATTTTTGTACTGGCAAGGAGGCTGCTTATGAATTGGCAAATGTCAAGTTAGAGTCACCAACTTCTGGGAGCTATAAAAAGCTATAAAACAAAAAACATAAAAAAATGTACTTATGGTCACTTTACGTGATCTGAAGTTGTATTATTAAAAAAAACAAAAACAAATCCTTGTTCCTGGAGTTTCATCCTGTTGTCCTAATTTCCTCCACTTTCTCCTTATTTCTCTCTCCAGACTATTTTGGCAGAGGGATTAATCTGCCGTCGGTGTGCGCCTCTGTAATTACAGTGGAAGTCCGTTGCTGGTTGGCCTGTGCATGCTGATGCTTACAGCTGGCACCCCAGTGCCGTCAGCGTGATGATGAAAAACTAGGTCTCCCATCTTCTTAATCACACATATGCAGTTAACAGTGAGTTGAAGGTGTTGATTAAACACATTGTTGAAGGGTGGAAAAAAAGTCTTGAAGATTTAACTGAGGATTTTAGCTCAGAGGTGTTTTTCAGGTCTGCTTCTGACTATGAAATTTTAAATTAAAATGTTAATTTATGCTTTAATCGGGGGAAAAGAAAGCAATATGGCTGATTATCTGGACCATGTTTACTACGAAAGTGGAAGCTGCTGAAAGGACAGCAAAGTTTGCCTGAAACAAAAGAACACGACTTAAGATTAAATCAAATGTATAACAGATTCCGGTTATAAAAGAGCTCAAATCTGGGGACAGCACCAAGAAGATTATTAGTGAAATCATGTCATTATACAGAGAGACAGAAGGTAAACTGTTTGATATTGTTTCATACAGGTAATGAGAGGAAATGACTCAAACTCCCTAAATTAACATTGACAAGGCACAAACAGATTCACAACAGTGTCCTGACCAGATGTTCAGACCTTCATCTTTATGGAAGCATTTTATTTGCTTCTAGAAGTTTGAACTACTCTATGCAGACACAACAAGCCAACAAACACAGAGTTTGGCTGAGTGTGTCTTTAGTTAGCAGGGTTTATGTGCTTTAAATGAAAGTAAACAATAATGATGAAATGATGTGGAAAAAAATCTGCTATGCATTATCTAAACCTGATCTGTAAACAGTAACACTATCAGTGATTCTCGGAAATTGCGCATTCCAGCATCTGGTTTGTATCTGCTGCTAAGGGAAACAACACAAACTGTTGGAGAAACAGGGACCTGGTCCATAACATCTTATGTTTTTTTTTTTTGCTATTTAGGTCCCACGGCAGCATGAACAATTCATTACAGATGAAGGTCTCTATTTTTTTTTTTTTGGGAAAAAGAATGTCAGTGATGCAGAGTGTAGAGGTGGAACAATGCATCGGAAAAAAAAAAAGTTCTTTTAGGATTTCTATGAGGTTAGACTGAATTTCTATGGGAAAAATTCCTTTAAAGAAAATAATTTGGATCCAGAGATGTTGAATATTATGTTATGGCTTATTGTTTTTTAGAAGGTTAGAGGAAAACGCTAGACAGAGAAGATGTACAGGGTGGTTATCCGAACAGTGACTATGTGACAGCAGATTTTAACCACAATGCATTTCGTGCATCTCTAATAGAGTTTATGCATCTCTAAAAGAGCCCTCTGTACATGAGAGCAAACCAACTTTCTTTGTGTAAACAGCACTTGCAGGAAGCAGAAAGTTGCATTTGCATTCATTGTAATCATGTCTGTGCACACTAGTATCCATGAAGACAACCCAACTCACTCCTCTCCAATAGGAGGTTCGCTGAATGAATGAAATTCTCTGAGTGTGTGTTTCCAGAACAGTGGAATTAGTTCTCTGTTTGATCCCCTGTTGAGGATTACTCAGTGTTATATGGTAATGCTTGCGTATGAGAGATGGAGCTCAGAGGAGAGGGGGTGTTAGCAAATCCCTCTCATTCAGAAGCTGCTGCTTGATCTGTCATTCAACTGAAACAAAGTCTGAAAGAGAGGATGGAGCGGTGGGGAGAGGTCTTGGAAATAAGAGGAGAGAAGTTGCCGAAGGAGAGAAATATTTAGATATAGTAAGGAGAGAGTTCAAATCTGTGATAGCAAAATATTGTGGCGGGAAAAACTTGCAGATTTCCTCTGTTTTCTCAAACTTGCATGTTTTAAAACATCAAAACATCCTCATCAAAACCTATCCAACCAACCTGGCCCTACAAATGAAAAAGTAATTACTCCCTTGAAAAATTCTGAGTCAACTGTGATTAATCACATTTTTTGAGAAAGCAAGTT